AAAAAAAGGTCACACACTAATATTTTGTTGGACCGCCTTTGGCTTTGATTACATCATGCATTCACTGTGACATTGTTTCAATAAGCTTCTGCCATGTCACAAGATCTATTTCCATCCAGTGTTGCATTAATTTTTCACTAAGATCTTGCATTGATGACTATGCACTAGGCATGATGGTTGCATCACTTCACCTGCCTCTTTTCTTACCCTGATGCAACCGTCACCCTGGAACAGGGTAAATCTGGACTCATCAGACCACATGACCTTCTTCCATTGCTCCAGAGTCCAATCTTTATGCTCCCTAGCAAACTGAAGCCTTTTTTTCCAGTCAGCCTCACTGATTAGTGGTTTTCTTAAGGCTACACAGCTGTTCAGTCCCAATCTCTTGAGTTCCTTCACATTGTGTGTGTGGGAATTCTCTTACTTTCACTATTAAACAGAGCTCTGAGTGCTACTGTTGTTTTTCTTCCATTTGATTTCACCAAACGTTGAAGTGAACGCTGATCACGATCATTCAAGAGATTTTTCCAGCCATATTTCTTCCTCGAAGACTATGGGTCTCCACTATCCTTCCAGTTTTTAATAATGCGTTGGACAGTTCTTAACCCAATTTTATTAGTTTCTTCAATCTCCTTAGATGTTTTCTCTGCTTGATGCCAATGATTTGACCCTTCTCAAACAGACTGACATATTTTCCACGACCACGCCACGTGTCTTTCAACATGGTTGTTTAAGAAATGAGAAGCAACTCATTGCACCAGTTGGGGTTAAATAACTTGATGCCAGCTGAAAGATAATCGCCCATGCAGTAATTATCCAATAGGAGGCTCGTACCTTTTTGCTTAGTTAAATCCAGGTGGCAACGCTTTTTTTGTTGGGCCAGGCAGTGTATATTGATGTTGCAATGAAAGAGCAAGGAGAACACACACCGAGCTTGAGCACCCCCCACTAGCATCAAAGTCTGTTTTTTTGGAAACATGCTGGTTTCTCGGTCAACTAAAGAGACGCAGAGAAAGAAAGGTGTATCGAATGAATGCATCCATCAGCAGGGATAAAGCACATAACTGGTTCCATGTTGAACTTGATTACTCACTTGAAATAGCACGGCCCAAATGTAAACAAACGGGGACAAAGAAAAAATAAATAAAGCTGGTGTATTTGTTAAAATGTAGTTTTATCTGAGCAAGCTACTTGTCAAATGTAATTTTGGCGTAGGCGTAAGAAAGGTCACTATCCAAAATTTGACCGCCACGTCAAAATCCAAGATGGCCACTGCCACGCCGATCATTTGAGGAAACTGCTTTCTAGTTTTTATATTGCTTAAAATATATCCTGATAAATGTAAGAGGACCTGACTCAAACTTGTTAGATTAATAAAAAATATATAGTTTTTGCAAATGATCGGACTGGTGTGTGGGGTGTCCAAAGACGATGGTGGCCATGGCTCCACCATTGATCCTGGTGGTGGATAAAACTGCTCCTTTCACTCCATCCATTCAACCATCCAATTATTGGATTGACCATCCATTCATACATCTATCCAACCATCCATCCATCCAACCATTCTATTGACCATCCATCCTACCAACCACCTGGATCTGTCATACTGTGCTGCCTCGAATAAGCAAAAAAAACAAACAAACCCTCTATTTTAAACAGAGTAACTTCTACTGGTACCCACTTCAATATTTTGAACCAAAAACCATTAAGGTTTACTTGATTCCAGACCAGAAAAAAAAAAAAAATAAAATCTCAAACTACAAACATTTACTATTCAGATCTCAGTGACGGTGGCCATTCACACACGGCTTGTTTTTTTTTCTGTCATGTCCCTTATCAAATGAGGACGCAGAGACGACCCCAAAGGAAATCCTTCCACTCCGAGACATCTGTACTCGTGTTAGTCGGGTCAAATCTGTCCGACAAAACCTTAATCTCAACAGGCAACTGTTACTACAAGCATCGTAACCAAGGAATCTGTTAGTGAGACGATTCGATTTTTTTTTTTCTAGTTCTTTCACCCATTTCCTGTGAAAGGGAACAAAATAATAATAATCCAAGGTGGGCAAAAACTGTTCAGCTGGAGATTCTGAGTCTGAACGCAGGCGAACATGTGGACAACTAGATTGAGGCAGCGATAACGGACAGAGGACATTATTCTCGGGCACACGCATGCACGTGCATGCGAGCAATAATGAAATCTGTGTCGACAGCGGGGTCCGTTCTCCATGACAGAGTTGCACAGTGATTCCATTCTGCCTGTAGTGAGCAGCATATGGGGCGGCACGTTTGGCTGACAGGTGCAAATGTGTTACACGCTCACCGTGTCCGACCTTTAACCTGCATTTTCCTATCATGGTGTGTGAGCTGTAACGTGTTAATGCACATTACAACGCGTGTGTCAAAGCAGCTGGTCCACACAGACATCAGTGTGTGCGCGTTTAATTAATGTGCACATTTAGGAGAGCGAGGTGACGAGCTCGATCCTGGAGTCATGTTTCAGAACATTAAGATAAAAGGCTTCGAGTCTTATGTGGATTTGAGTGAGTGAAGCCAGCGTCCTGCTGAGCTGCGCTTGTTAAACACTAATTGGTGACTCAAAATTATGATTTAAAAAAAAAAAAAAAAAAGGAATTTAATAAGACCGCATTGGAAAATTCACCTGAGTGTTTGCATTGATCTTGTGGTCAGTTTTTGTAGATCAAGGCTGATCGTGTGCACGGCCTTAAAACAATGTTCTTGCACATTAGTTTGTTGGCCACCTCAGCAGCCATTTAAGAATAAATCATCTGACGTCAACTTCAGAAGAGAAGATGGGCAGATTAGGACCAGGTAAAAAAATAAAATAAAATAATTACACGCCTGTTGGAAGATGGATGTATTGTAGTTTTTGATGGATTGTGAACTTTCTCTTGTCCGGGCCACAACTTCTGATCCGCTCTAGATAATTGAACAAAGCTTGAGACACATTTACATCTTGACCAGACAGTGTCACATGCACTTTCAGTGCCCCCCAACTCCAAGAACAGGGTCAAAAATCAAGGTCATTATTTATAAAAAAAGGTCTTTGCTTATCTGTACCATAACATCTGATCTGCTCAAGGCAATATAATGAAACTTGAGTGGCCTTTGCACCACCAGGCGGCGTGTTGCCTAATCTTTTCATCTCTTCAGTTGTAAGGTCAAAGTCACAAATCAAGGTCAAAATGTATACAAGGTCTTTGTCAGTCTGGACCATTGCTATAGATTGCTGTAGAATTTGTGGAAGGTTGTAGAATGTGCTGTTTGTGGTACTGTTGTTTATGGTTTTGACATGTGTGCTGTCCTGTCAGGAGAGCTCTTACAGAACGTACAGCTCTTGAGATGGGTTGAGACCCCCGCGATGACTCTATTGAGAGAAAACGTGTTGCACATTTTCTTGAACAAGTTCAAAGCTCAAGCGACGAGGCTTCAAGCCTCTGACTCATGTGTGCAAACAGACATTTATAAGATTCCCTCAAGAATCCCATTTGGCAGCTGGTCGCAGTAGAGCCTGACCCGTGGCTCTCCATTAGCTACTGAACGCTGAAAAGCAATAGTCATCTTTACCTATCTGCTAGGACTAGCCAGGTCCTTCAGTGGAATATGGTGTGCAGCCCAGATTTTTTGAGACTGCATCAACTGTGTGAGAAGACATCTGGAGTCTAAAACACTACAATAGCCGTTATCTTCCACTTGTTCTGTAGTCAGGTGTCGGGGGCAGCACCATGAGCAAGGAGGCCTAGACATCTCTTGCCACAGCCTCCTCTTCCAGCCCTTCTGGGAGCACTCCAATGTGTTGCCAGACCAGCTGGGAGAGAGAGTCTCTCTAGTGTGTTCTGGGTCTCCTCCTACTTGGACATGTCTAGAAAACCTCTCTAGGGAGGCGTCCAGGGGGCATCCTTACTAAACGCTCGAACCACCTAAACCGACTAGCAGAGGGAAAACCACTCGGACCATAAGGACACCACGTGTCACATTCCTTGAACTTTCTTAGTTTTTGAATAAAAAGTCATCACATGTTTACCAGCTATTAAACTGGAGCGCGCAGCTGCAACTCCCAGTGCTAAAACATGTGGTAAACTTCTTAATGCACGTGCGTTTGCAAGGCTTGTACACGAGACGGGGCGTCCAACGCCTTTCTTTACACTTGCAGACGAGAAAAGGGCAAAAAACTCGTCGTCGTAGAAGAAGCAGAATCTAAACATCTCGTTTGAATGTTCACATCTACAAACTTGTGTTCAGTTTAAAACTGGAAAACTATAAATTGCGTTGATGTAACCGTTAAAGACTGATTTTTATTATTTTTTCTTTGTGTGTGTGGAACGTTTCAATAATCTGCTAAAACTGTTTGATATATTTGGGGGAGTGGTGGCGCAGAGGTTAGAGAAGGTGGGCCCGGTTCACGCCAAAACCACGTTCAAACTTTTGCTTAAAGCGTTTGTTAAAATGTAAGTTTTTGAACTAGTCCATAGAAATACAGTGAAAAAGGTGCTGCTTGTACTGGTGCTAAAATGGTACGTATGTATTAATGGGAGATTATGGTCAAACAAAACCTAAACAAGGTGCTTCATAAGTACAGATTATTTATATTTGCACAATCTTATAATACAAACTGTTTTCTAGTTCTTGTCTTTGAAATATGTCTACGATGGGTAAATGTTCTGCAAGTTGTTCTAAGGAACAAGGTGAAAGTTCCTCAATCCTAGATTATTCTTGACTTTAAATAATTCTGTGTATGCTGGCTGCCCTCTGCAGATCTACAGAAACACGAGTGGTTTTTGGTTTTATTGCTCGACGAAGCAGAGGAATCATAAAGACGGTGTTTTGATTGGATCATAGTGATCTCCACCTTTCGGCTGTAAGTAGCAGCTGTGGACCCCCTCCCGTCTCTGTGGTTGTTTTTGTTGACGTCTTGTTTTTGTTTGTATAAGGTCAACATGTCCGCACCCTATTTAGCGCCACAGATTGCGCAGCCTTACCTGCAGCTGTAGGGGTCCCAGGCCAGGCGATGCGGCGGCAGCCATTGTTGTGGGGATGAGCTGGAGAGGGTAGGGGTCACCTGGAGCAAACAGAAGATAACACTTTACTGCTTGATGCTAATAAAAACCTCTAAACCAGTCATTCCTATAAGTGTCCTTTACACCACGCATCCTTCATCTTCCTGTGTCACCCTCGTTTTTCCTCACGCCCATGTTTCTCTCCTCCCTTCCATTCCACTTTCATCCCTCGCTCCTCCATCACCCCTGCCACCTGAGTCCCTCTCTGCAGCTGTTAAAGCCGTCCTTTGTGTACTCTGCCGGTGGGGGCCTAATGAAAAGCCTGATTGTGTGTCCTCCTTAATACCCCCAGACAAAGTGCAGCGAGGTGAGGGGATACTGATAAAGCCGGCCCCAGCGCCGTAATTAAGAGCCGCGACTGCCGATTGCTGCTCTCCTGTTCCTCCCTTTGTTTTGTAAACCGAAGATGTCTGTTCTCCTGCCTAGAGAGGAGAGCATCACTTCTCTCACTTCTTCTTGTCATTTTTTGTACTCCTTCTAAGTTGAAGTGGTTTTGTTGTGTTTCAACACGTCTATATCCCCTCGACCCTGAACGTAAAAAATAAATGTAGAGCCAGCGGGACGTGTTGAAGGAGACGACGAAGGTTCAAGGAGGAGAAACGATGAGCTCAGGTTATTGGTGGAAGCAGATAAAGTGTGTAATTACTCAAAAAGAGAGAAAAGGGGGAACAAAGAGGTCAGAAACGAGCGGACAAAGGATCCTGGAGGCAGGGAGAGAACATTTCTGTTTAAGAACGGGCATTTTATACAACCCTAATCCTGAAAGTCAAGACCTTGTGTAAACTGTAAAAATAAAAATAATACGCAGGTATCTGCTGCCCAGATGTGGAACAGACTGGAAACACTCATTGGTACAGATCAGGCTTCTCAATGAACAATGATGATTTCTGTTATTTTAATGTCTTGTCTAGTGTAGACGTTTTGAGTGACTGACTGTGAAGCGAACTGCCTCTTGGGGATAATAAAGTTTCTTGAACTTGATCTTACGATGCCGTTATTGCTAGTATCACTCAGCCCTCTGTGAATAGCAAGCGGCCGTCAGGGCACTAACGATCGGTCGTTAGGCTGATGGTCCTCCTTTATCATGTGAACGGCTAGTTTTGGTTGTCACCAGCAAACTGGTCGATCCATTATGAGAAGGTGCTGTTCATAAAACCGAGTTTGTTGCAGCTCTTCAGACTGAAGAAAACTTCTGGATAAAAGACTAAACATTTCAACAAAGAAGAATCTGTCCAGAGGACCTGACTTTTCTACCTGGAATACTGAGCATGCATCACAATAACTAAGTTATGTTTCCCACTAAAGCATTCCCTCTTTATTGAAGCAACGATCTAAACATCTAGGACCTGAGGAGACAAGTTCTTGGAGCTTTTGGAGAACGTCGTCTCCTGGTCAGATGGAGAATTCTGGCTGTTCAGTGATTCTGGGTCTTCTTGGTTGGATGGCAACGGACGTTGTTCAAAAACCTGCTCATACTTTTCTGCATTGATGGCGCCTTTCCAGATGTGTGAGCAGCCCATGCCTGAATCACTAATGCACCCCTATACCATCAGAGAGGCATGTTTTTGAACTGATAACAGATTGGATGGTTTGATGCTCTCTTCAATACACAGGACCATCACGTCTGATTTCTAAGAAGAATTCTTCATTTGGATCCGTCTGAGGACGGAACAGTTCTTTGCTTTGCCGCCGTGCATTTTAAACGAGCTTTGATCCAGGGAGGCTGGCACTGGTTCTGGGTGGTGTGTAAAGATGGCTGCTTCTTGACAGCATTCACGGATGGCACGGTGAAATGTGTCGGCCTATGATCTGTGGAAGTGTTCCCGAACCCAGAACAGAACCAGACCTGTGGACCTGAAGATCACGACTTCCAGCCTTGTCCTTTGAGCTCAGGGATTTCTACAGATCCTTCAATTATTTTGATTTCATGAACTGCAGATTTTTCCATTGAGGAACATTATTCTGAAATTCTTCTTCTACTTTCAGAAGCAGTTTTTCACAGACTGGTGAACCTGTGCCCATCTTTTCTTCTTACGTGCTCTTTTTATGCCCAGTCCTCTTACTGACCTGTTGAAAATTAGATTAATTTGATGCAAATTGCTGCTCCGTCTGTTTCTTAATAGTGTATTTTTGTTGCATTAGTCACAGTTTTTTGCATAAATTATCATGCCTGCGTACAGTGAAGTGACAAATTTGTTTTTTTTCTCCATATTTATAACCCAAGTTTTGATTGAGATCTGATGAATTTCATTAATTCTGACACGAAAAATATTGAACACGCTTGAGGGCGCTCAACTAATATGGCAAGCCAAGTGTCTTAATAGGTAGAAGTGGCTATTAATGAGACACTTGGCTTGCCATACCAAGCCGCCTTCGTCTTGCTCCAGAACTCCTGGAGCAAACGTCAAATCAGCTGCATTTCACCGAATCGCTCAGGTGAACTGCAGCTGATTTGATCATCAAAGTGCATTTTTTAAGTAAAAGTTAAACTGAGACGCACCTTTGCTATAAAGTCGAGCAAACAAATAATTGTTTTTTAAGTGTTAATATTGTTAAATTCTTGTTCAAGTCCTCCCATGCACGCTCCCATGGCCGCCATTCGGCAGCCAATCGATTTTTGGCACAACACCGGCCCACATTTCCTGATTGTCAGCGGTGACGTGTAATAGATGCGACACGGCAAAGTGACTTTTTTGTTTATTTTTCCACTTTATAAGACGTATTTGGACTGATGCGACATTTACGGCAGCAAGTACGGTAATACTTTTACAGCCTTTTGTTTCAACCGTTTTCATCTTTTGAGATATCTGTTGCTGCTATAAAATTCTACATTAACTTTTTTTTAAAAGATTTTTCTTCAAAACATTTGCTCCGTTTGTGAATGAGTTTGAGGCTTTTGGTTGTATAAACCAGCAGCACCAGGAGGATTCAGGCTTTTAATCTGATGTTTGGTACAGGAAGTACCTGGATGAATGTTCTCGGGGCTTGAACCTGCTTTCCTTTCTGCATCGGGGTCGACCTCCTGGCTGCGTCGGGACCAGAACCGACTGTCTGAGCTCGTGTAAAGCTGTGCAGCACCAGAGCTTGGCATAAACCAGACTCTCCCTCCAACATATTTTCCCATATAACTTTAGAGAACGAAAGAGGGAGGAAAAGAGTGAAAGCAAAGCTGTGACATTCCTGTTTCCAGAGGGGGATTAAATAATTATTTCAGGACTGTGTATTCTACGAGATTGGTCTTTTCTCTTTGCTTCCTAGACAAACATGAGTCCAGTGGATATTTATGTCCCTCCTGGGGGTCGCTGTAACAAAAGGGAGAGGAACGGAGGAAAGCAAACATGTTGCTCTTGGCTCGGGGACAGGGCCCTAAAGGCTGAGCTTTCTCACCGACAAACAGAAGATGGATAAATAAATAAATAAAAATCCAATCAGTGCTACTTCGGTATCATGTTTTAACGTTTACAATAAAAGAAAATCAGAGGAAATGTTTTGCCAAGCGCCGTTTGATTGGCATGAGAAGAAACCGTTTTATTTTTAGCTTTATAAATGAAAGGTTTTGGTGGGAAAGTGTTTTTTATTTATCTTCTATTCTTTTCATATATATACTAATTTATTTCAAAAGCTGACCAAAGTGCTGCACAACAAACCAGATGAATGTATATAAATATTGAAGAGAAGTAAAAATATTAAATGATTAAAATGGATAAAGTGGATTTGTGTCAAAGTGAATAAGTGAAAATATTTGAGAATAAAGTTTAGGTATTTAAACTATAGTACACATATGAATTATTAAAAAAATAAAATACTCAAAAACTCAACCTGGCAACAAGTTTTAGTACTTCATTGTAATTGTGACTCGTTTGGAGCTTTAGTTCTCTTGATGTAAGCTGCATTTTGAATTTTATTAATGAAGAACGATTATAAAAAGCCTGGCGTTCCTTAAAGGAATGCATGTCGCCCGCTGCCCGTTACGCTGGAGTTTTGGGTTAACACCTTTATTTTTAAAATTCTAATTACCGTATTTTTCGGACTATAAGGTGCATGAAGCAAAACAAACGGATAAGTCTAACTTTATTCAACTCATTCACAACAACCACATGTAATCGGTTCGAGGTCGGTAAGCACAACCAGAATCAATAAATAAAGCTCACTGTCGATTTTTGATCAAATTAAAGGATTAGGATAAAGGATAGGTTGCTTTTAGCTCCACGTCTAAAACTGGACTAAGTTCATATTTTTGTGTTGGCTGAGTTTGATTCGCTGAGGTGGCCCCGAAACAAAGTTGAAGTCGTACGACCAAGATTTTGTTCAATCTGAAATTACTCAGATCGTTTTAAAGGATCAGTCTCAGCTACTACCAAGCAAAATATTAACTCGGTATGTTCCACGCATGTGGGTTTTAGCATCACTTAACTGAGAGCAATAACCAGTAATAATAACCATAAACTTTCTAAGTTAAAATCTATTAATAGTTCATGAAATATTTTGCTAACAGACGCACATGCAAAAATTGTCACCTGCCTTTGGGCTCGACTTTGTTCTTGAAATACTCTTCAGTTATTTTCCTCAACATTTCACCTTAAATCTGGTCTTGGTTATAGATCGTTTCCTACTCTTTTAAAATAAATTTGCTAATACTTTTCTTTTAGTGACCCTAAAAATCTAAACTCAAGGTTCTAGGTGACTTATTGTCATTTGTAGCACATGTGGTACATGAGATGGAACGGAATTGTAGGAGGTGAGGACTGAGCTTCCCAGACCAGCTCGTCTCAGCCGCCTGAGGAAGTAGAGTCTCTGATGATCTTTCTTGATCAGGCTGGTGGTGGTGTTGCCCCAGGTTGTCATTCAGGTGTACCCCCAAGTACTTGTAGATGGAGACCACTTCCACCCCAGATACTCGTATGTTCAGGGGAAGGTGCGTGTGCTCCTTCTGAAATCCACAGTCATCTCCTCCATCTTCACATTGATGTGAAGGCCTTTGCACCAGCTCTCCAGGTGTTCCACCTCCTGCTGTAGATTGACTCATCATTGTTTGTGATGCATCTCAACACCACTGTGTCATCTGCAAACTTTACAATATGGCTGCCTGGATGGGTAGGTGCACAGTCATATGAGAGCAGAGTGAACAGGAGGGGGCTCAACACACAGCCCTGAGGGGAGCCAATGCTGAGGGTTATGGTGGAGGAGTAGAAGTTGTGGATCCTCACAGACTGCGGCCTGTTGGTTAAGAAGTCCAGGACCCTAGTCCTTCGGTGCAAAATTTTCATCTTTAAAATTATTCTTAAACAACAAATTAAACGTTAAAACTGATGAAGCGTCAAATTTGCAGACACATTGGCTTTTAATAACGAACTAAACATTTGGAAAACTCAGTAGAAAACGCAGGTGAACTAGTTTTCATATAAAATGAAGAAGTGTTAAAAAATTCCTGCAGAACGGTTTGAGCTGAGCGCTCCGAGGTCCGAACCAAACCTCCTCCATGAGGTGCCGTGAGAATATGTTGGAGCACGATGCTTCACGCCTCCTATTTCGAGCCGCAGCACCAAACTGCATCGACTCGCGGCAACTTTGAAAGTTGCCAGAGAGTTTTCTCAGGGGCGGCTTGGCCCGCGTCGGCGTGCCAGTCCGGTTGGAGTTGGCCGAGGCAGCGAAAAGACGAGCCCACTGCCTGACGGGGTATTTACGTGGGCCGTGGGTGTGGGGGAAGATGGCACTAATTAAAATGGAATGGACTTGTTTGGGAAGCTGTGAAACTCTAAGTGGATTTGGGGGATGGGGGGGGGGGTTTGTTCTTCAGCATTATGACATATCTTTGTGTGTTTTTTTTATTTGCAGAACATTAATTTTTTGTGATTTCACAAAGCAGTCGCTGTCTGTTTGGACATCAGTGTGTGTGTTGGTGCATGTGGGCTGTGTTGGAAACACGTTCTGGCTGTGTCCTGTGTTAACGTGAGGAGAACCTGGGGCAGGTCACATTACCCCCCCACATACAACCACCCACTCCCCCCTTCTTCTGCTAGCCCCCCTGCTGTGCATTTATTCCCAGCATCCCCTGGCAAGCACCAGCCTCCTCCTTCCTCTCCGTCTCTCTCTCTCCATCATGGTAAACAACACATTGCCACACAGCCGGAGCGTGATGGCCAAATAATAAAATAAAAAAAGTCCGGCAGAACGCCTTCATTTTATTGCTTTTTTTTTACGTCAAAAAATAGACCAGACAAAAGGAAGGAGCCAAAAGGAGGAGAGATGCTGAGTGTAAACAGGAAGACTGCATTTGGACTGGTTTTTCTATTAAGAGGGGGACGCTGGGGGCTCGCCTTTAGACTCTTGATGTGGGAGACGGGTCAGCCTCCACCGTTGCTGCTGCTGCGTGTGGTACTTACTGCAGCCAGGCTTGTAGTTGAAGCCAGGGGGCATCAGGAAGCCCTGCTGGGCTGCAGCCGCCGCCAGAGTCCGCTGGTCGGGAGGAAAGACGGGAATCATCAGCGGAGGGAGCTGGCCCTGGACCTGCTGATGAAGGTGGGAGAGGAGGAGGAGGAGGAGGAGGGGTGTACAGGTGGGAAGAAGAAAAATAAAAACATCAGCACATCCTAATTTGGCGTCTTTTATTTATGTGCACAAAAAATAAAATAAAAATAAAAACGTAGCATTATTTGAAGGAATATCTTCACCTGAGACCTTAAAATATTGTGATATCACTGCATGTGCTGTGAACTACTCTCAGCTACTACCACAACAAACCGTAGCTCTATCTAACCCTCAATTAAAGACGTAACTCTGTTGACTGATTAAAACCAGCTGTGGCAGCTAATCCAGTGGCTCATGAGATGTTTTGCTAACAGTGAGCTGTGTCTGACATGACTTGAACACACACCTCCTGACGAGCCTTTGAATCCAGATGTCGACCTTCAAAAAGCCACAAAAGTACCAAACACTTGTTGTTTGGATCTTCAACCCAGAACGAAACGAGCCACAAGGACGGTTCAGTAAACTGTACCAGCAGCTGGCCTTTCACTTTCACTTGAGGATAATGTCTTCTCCGGTCTCCCCACACCGAAACACTAACACGCACACTCCACGCGCCTGTCGGCAGAGAGCCATGCAACTTCATAAGGTTTCCAGGATTTTAAAGGAAGATGGGGGGTGGGGGGTGACTTTGGCAGGAGAGTGAGAGAGAAAAGAGACGGAGAAGTAGGAGACAGATGGTTGCACTAAACAGCGATCTGCCAAAAACAACACAAAGACTTGCATGTGATGGACTGACTGACAGGGAGGAAGAGGAGAGGAAGGGAGGAGGAAGGAGCTGAATACTTCTGAGAGCCTGAAGGAGTGCACGTCACCCGCCGCCGTTCATACCAGAGGTCTTAAAGTAAAACCACCTTAAGTTGAGAAATGTATTGAGCTTTGGTCAAACTTTTAATCTGTGAGAGCTCAGAGTGTGAGCTGAGGGCAACTCTCAGCTACTACCACAACAGCCATGTTTTCTGTTTATCTTAAATGTGAGCTAATTTTAAAGTTCATCAGTTGATGTCTTCCTAATGGTTTGAGTGTCACTGAAATCCGTGCAGTGGTGCATGAGATTTTGCTAACAGGTTTACGTTAAACAGTTAGGTTAAAAAAAAATGTTGCAATCGGTATCGAGATGCACGATATTATCGATATTGGTAATGAAGTTAAATATCGGATCATCAAAATAACTCAACAATATTGATATAAAAATTGATATAAAAGATTGTTTTATATATTTATAATAATAATAATTTTTATTTATAATGCACTTTACATTCACAATGAATCTCAAAGTGCTACGAGTGAACATCAGATAACATGAGGACAAAAAGGAACCGAGAGAAGGAATGACCAGGAGGATAACGTGTCAGAATGATCACATCAAAAACTTAAAATGCAGATAAAATACTTGAATAAGAACTTTGGGTGAATAAAACAAACACAAGTACATTGCAATCAATTAAAAAACTGGGTAAAAACGGTTTTAAGACCTTTTTTAAAACATGTCATTATATATTTAATAATGTACACCCCACTTTTTGGCATCTGCATTTGGTAGCAGGCCAAATTGACAAAGACCGTGCAGAATAATGTTGTATATTAATTCTGCAGCAGAGAAAGCTGTGTAGTCTCTGTAAGTAGGTCTGGGGGGGGGGGGGGGGGAAGACAAAATATTGGTATTGGTTATTGGACAAATAAGCTTTAAGATATCGGCCAAAAATCCAATATCGTGCATCCCTACATCGGTGTGTTGAGGACGATGCTCAGCTACCACCACCACCAACTTTGAGCTAAATTTATTTAAATTTGTCTAAATTAAAGCCATTTATGTGGCAGCCATCTTGGATTGAATTGATCCTAAAAGTTCATCAGTTTTAAACGTCAACCAGATATTTACAACTGTTGAGTCAGTCAGGTGGTTCATGAAGTATTTTGCTAACAAAATGTGCGGACAGATTGTGTGCAATCATCCAGCAGTCAGATTATAAACTGGGGGTCAGTCTCAGCTACCACACCAAATCTGAGCGGTGAACTTGATGAATATTTCTCTTCAAACGGGTCGCAGTGAGACGGATTCCTTCACGTCTCGTTTCCACTCCGAAGGCCTTCGAGTGCGTCGTTTCATCCGAACGCACAAAGCGTTGCTTTGCAGACGGTTTTCTCTTTTGAATCCTTTCCGATGGCAACGGCGCAACAATGCTCGCCCACGCCGTCCTTAAATAAAAGGGAAAAGCTGCAGGTTCTTCGTTTCATCCGACATGTTACATTTGTTTTTCGTTTTATTCAGGCTCTCCGTGGCACCTGTTTGCTTCTCCACAAAACAAACAAAACTTGTAAAAACTGGTGAAGCGCCCTGTTTTAAATTTCAGGCTGTGAAGCACTTTGTTCCCTCGTTGCGACTCGTCTCTCTCTCTCCTTCGCCTGCTGTCGCTTTATTTTGCCAGGAGGCCGGAGAGGTAATGGCTGAATAGAATAATGGGCAGGTAAAAGCCGTGTGATGTGGGAAAATTGATCCGGAATGATGGAAATGGCCGTACAATCATAAAGGATGGTGGCGCCGCGATACAATCAGGTAATATCTCGGCACTTGAAGTGGTTAGTGTTTGAGACTGTCTCTCAGCGCTAACAGGGCTGTTACAGCGCGCTCTAAGTACCGGCGTGCCTCCTCCTCCTGCCCCCACGTGTTGGCACGCCAGCAGCACTGTAATCAAACTATCACAGAGCAGGGGAATAGCACTCTCTTCAAGCGACTTCTTCCCCTCCTCCCTTTCCTCCTTTTTACCGAAAACAATAATTACTCCACCATTTTTTGGTTAGCCACAAACCGCCGTTCTGCCATGATCAGAAGGGGGGGAGGCGTTCCAGCGCGACGCTCGGACAGGACCCCCGCGGGGACGAATCACAGACAGAACAGTTCTGCTTTGCCTTTCAGGCCTAATTGGACATATGCTGGAGTGGAGCTGGCGAGTAAAACTGTAATGTTCCAAAGGGAGGAGGAAGAGGAGTTTGATAAAATACGTCCATGCTGTATGACACCAGCGTGCGCACGAGGCTTCTCTTCCTTTTGCAAATAAAATCATCATAGAAAACCCTTCAAAGCTTCTCCCCTTTTGATCTCATAATAAAAAGCCTGCACACAATAGGCAGACATTAATCAGCCTACAGAACTGTTGCATAACTCGTGCAAGTCTTCATAATGAAGAGGAAGATCAGGCTGCAGAAACGAAGCAAGCAAAAGACACGCAACAAACATGAAGATGGTTTATAGAAGATCACTTCACTCCACGTGCTGTTCTTAAAGTATTTATATGTTCTCAGGATGAGTTTAAGGTGGCGTCTCTGGGTTTCTACTGTTGGACGTGATTTAAGTTGAAAGTGCCAGTACTCCCAGCAAGATCAGAGATGTGTCCTGTCCTAACGGAGGAAAAATAAAAAAAGTTGGCAGCTCTAAACAAAGCAAGGCGATAGAAGGTATTTGGTGCATCAGTATGTGCATACACCTTTACTACACGACAATAAGATAAAAACCACTTATGTGGAAGTTTTAATGTCGCATATACTTTAATTAAAGTCGACTTTTTTCTTGTTTTGACTAAATTTAAACTGCACCAGAAACACTTTTCTACACTGTTAAAGATTTATAAGGCTATTTAAGGTTCAAGCAATATAATAATGACTTAATTGGGAACTGCCAAGTGTAAGGCAGCACCGATTATTATCCACCTGACTTACGGTTTCTTAACTTTACATCTAACTCTTACGTAAACTTTAATACGCCCCGAACCGCAACGTGTACCCCAACAAATGTATCAAAACGACCAGTTCGGCGCCTATTACTTTTTTGGACATTTCGAGTTACCATGGTGACATAATTTGCAAACGAAGACGCCATTTTTCCCATGCAGAACGCCTGACGGAACACCTCACACTCTGCAACTGTGAGGTCACATGACTTCGTGTAGAGCTACCTGAAGAAAACTTAGAAAGTCACTGGATTTGTTTGAAACTCAAAAAGAAGTCTATCTAGAACTGATGATTTGGAGCCATTTGGATTCAAAATGGCTGCCACAGCTACCTCCGCAAACACAAAATTGAATATAGCTCATTATTTTTTTTATTTTTTTACCATATTGAGCATAAATTTAATACAGTGGTAGCTGAGAGCAAACGCCAACTGTCAAATCAAAACTTTAAATTGGCAGCAGCGTGGCAGTCCCCGTCAAAGTTTATCCAGGAACTTTCTAGTTTTACTTTAACTCTCACGACCGGCAGCTGGAACAATGTTCGCTAGTCTGCGTTCTTTTTCCAACATCCACACACTGCCTGATCAACCTGGGGTCGCATTGTCCTCTTGCGTCCACGCTCTGGGAGGCTGGCATTTTAAAATGGGCTGAATGGTTGCTAAGTTAAGATTAAGGTCAAACACTGTTTAAAACACGACTAACGCAAAGATTAATAGTCTAAGCACAACAACGCATCTGTCTTCTATTTAGTATAACTTTGCAAAAAAATAAAGTTTTTGTTTTACTCAGTCACATACTAAAGACGTGCAAATATAGATTAAACTATTGGTTGTAACTGAATCTTTAATGAAATGAAGGATTGTTTCAACGAGCTTTAAGAGTACAAACACGTATCTGCGTCTGTGGTGAACACTGAGTAACCTTAAAGTAAAACGTGAGAGTTTAACGCCGGCTTTATGATCTTGATGTAAACTTTGAAACGAGAAGAGTTCTCCGCTGAATCAGAGACAAAGACCGGATCAGTCATCCAATCTCCACATAAAAGAAGAGGGAGTTCTGAAACAGCAGAGACGTTGGTGAATAACGCACTTCTCAGCTTTTCTTTCTCATCAGGCCCAAAGCGAACACGAAAACATACAAAACTCACAGAAAAAAATATTGCACTGCTCTAGTCTGCTGACTTGCTTTTTAATCTGCACACCCTCACAACTCCTCAGCTGAGAGAGAAACCTGAAGCAAACGAGCTTGGAGACGATC